ATTATGCTATAAGAAATGGTGAAAGTAACAGTTCCAGAGAAACCTGGGAAGACCTGTATGAACTGATGTAGGGTGAAGTGAGCAGAAACAGGAGAACAATTTATACTATAAAAACAACATTGTAAAAACTAAAAACTTTGAAAAACATTGAGCCCTGACCAATGCAATGGTCAACCAGGATTCCAGAGGGCCCATGACGACACATGCTACCCACCTCCTGACAAAGAGGCAATGAACTCAATATGTAGAACATCCTACATATTTGTAGATATGGCCAATGGGGGAATTTGTTTTTTTTCACTATGAATATTTATTACAAGAATTTTTTTTTTTCCGGATGGGAGTTGGTAACGAGAAAATAAGTAGTTTTTAATTGAAATAAATTAATAAAAAAAAATAAAATCCATATGAGACATGGGTGATGTCTAAAACCAGAACCCCTGATCCTTTAGGTCAAGGGTGTTTGTGGTAAGCATAGTGGTTTAATTTCCAGCCAAAATAACTTCCTGGAAGAAGAAAACAGCCCTGACCCCATATACCTACTCCAGAAAAAACTTGAAATTCACATCAAGTTGAATAATAATCAAAAAATGCAATGTCTGATGAGAAAGAATTCCCCATATACACCAAAATGTTTATAGTAGCATTTTTGTGTAATGTCAAAGAACTGGAGACAAAGTAGATGCCTGTAAACTGAGGAATGGCTAAACAAATTGAGGTACATGAAAGTAAAGAAATATTAGTGCATTGTAAAAAACAATGACTATGAATAACTATGTTTAATATATTGCTAACTATTTCACTGCTTTCCTTTATAATGCTATGTAGTTTATTTTCTGCATTTAAAAGCATTATTCTGAAAAGGGGTCCTTGGTCTTCACCAGACTGTCAAAGGGGACCGCAACGCAAAAAAAGATGAACCCCTGGACTAGCAGTACAAAATGAGACACATTTTAAGCCATGGACACTGTGAAATTGTCTTATTTGACTGTGCTTCCTGGTTAACAAAGGAGAGGTTTTATCTGAGGGAGGAAAGGGTTGGGGAAAGTAAGTGGGTTGGTGATAGTGAAGCTAAAAAAAGAAAAGAAAAAGGGTATCAATAAAACATTTCAAAATACAGAGAATAAAGCAAAGGGAAAATCAGAATGGGATATAGAAAAGCAAGGAGTGTTAGCACTATCATGTTAAATTTAATTTATATTTTTAAAAGCTGTACCCCACAGATTCATGACTTTACATACTATATTATTTCTGATATTTAAATATGGAAATGTTCATGTTTGTTGTGTATTTTTTTTAGTTCAAAGAATTTTTAAAGAATATTTTAAAGCAGGTGACAGAATCATTTTCAATCTCCTTCCCCCACCATCTCCCCCCCCAAAAAAAAACCATAAAAATGGGTGCACCATTTCATTTAGTCACCATTTCCCCAGTGAGGGGAAAAATCTCAAAGATCCTCTTTGGGAATTGTTGTAATCTAGAAAAACCAGAAAGGCCTAAATTTTCTCCATTTAACAAGATATACACCAGTCACACATTCTCCTCCTTTCTGGCACTGTCTTTGACTTTTTCTCTCTGTTAGAACTCCCCTATCTGGTATCTTCTATGCCTAGAAACTTCTAGACTAAATAACTCTATTCTTCTAGATGTTTGGCCAATCCCTTCCTCTAACATTAGGGAGACGTAAAACCAATCAGACTTCTCTTCTGGGACTGTCCTGGAACAAGTGAAGACGGACCCAAGCATTCCAGAGCGTGCCGTGATAGAGTGCCAAGCACTCAGAATGTCCTACCTCTGTAGGCTCCTTCCTCCTCCCATGCTCTGAAGACCATCATGCATAAAATCAATAAACTTCTAGGTCCCTGGCAGCAGTCCTGGTCCCTTGCATGCCCTTCCCCATCTAGCTTTGAAGGTTGGTAATGCCAGCCCCAGTGTGGGAGATAAGTGGACTACCCTAGTTTGGAGGTGGCCGCTGCTGCCCCCATGTAGGAAGGAGATAGGACTGAGCTTGCAAGTATGCTTTCTCCCTCTCGCCTTTCTCTTGGGTGTCTCAAGTTTAGCCACAGCTTTCCCTTAAACACACCAGATAAAGGACTTATTGAGTTCAGTACAATATGGCCCCTGAACCTTCTCTTCTCCAGGCCACATCTCCCCACTTGGTTTAAATGATCCTCATAAAACTCGGCGTTACCTCCAGGTCCTTCACCATGTTCTCTAGACATTCACCAGACTCAAAATGTTTTTTATTTGTTACCAGCTACTGTGCTTGGTTTTAACTCCGCCATCATCTTCATCTTGTCCCCATGCCAGGAACCCTCTGGCATTTACACACTTATACACACACACACACACACACACACACACACACACCTTTTCAGCTTTTTTTTGTGTTTTATCTTCCCCCATTAGATTTTAAGCTTCTTGATGGCAGGGACCTTGTCTTTTTTTTCCTTTTTCTTATTTGTTTCCCTAGCATTCAGCACAGTTCCTAGCACATAGTAGGTGCATAATAAATTTCTGTGTATCATGTCATTCCTGAAATGTGTAGTCAGTCAGAACTAAACATAATACTAGGGATGTGGTCTGACCAAGATAGTATATAACACCATTATCACCCCCCTCATTTTGGGCACTGGGCCTCTCTTAATGCAGCATAAGATTAAATCAGTTTTTGTTGTTCTTTGGGGGGGTGTTGTTTGTATGTGTGTGTTAGTTGGTTTTTGCTGCTGAAACACGATGGATTCATCTTGCTGCTTTTTAATCTACTAAAGAAAGAAAAATAAAGAAAATAAGCAAACAGGGGTTACAGGGGAAAGACAGTTTTGGACCTTGGTTTCCCCTTCTGTAAAATAAAAAAGTTGTCATGGATGATCTCTAAGCACCTAGGAAATGAGTGCAGAGACTGACCTACCCAGGGATTACTGTTACTGACTTGAGTCCAAGAAGTACAGAATTCAAAGAGGCCAGTAGATGTCAGCGCAGCTTCTTAGGTGTGTCTAAACTAAGCAAGCTACCTCACTGCAAGCCATGAGCTCTGCTAGCTTTGGCTATGTAAACAAATCTTTCTCCATTAAAACCCCTTCTCGTTATTAAAAAGTTGTGACCCAAAGACCCCCACCAGCTTCCACCCATTTCTTCAGTATGCACTCAGGAGCCAAGAAAACACATCTTTTACTAGTTGAAGGGCAGTTTCTAAAGACATCTACCAAGTTACTCCTAAAGCTTCACTTTTCCAACTTAAATATTCATGTCAGACTTGATGGCCCTAAAACCTAATCTCTTTCTAAACTGGGGTTCTTAACCTTTTTTGAGTCCTACATCCCTCTGGCAAACTGATGTAACCTATAGACCCCTTCTCAGACTAAGGTTTTTAAAGAATCCAAGAAAATGCTACATTTCAGTTAGACGACAAAGAAAATGCAAAAGCGGGATTTTCCCACTCAAGTTCACAGATGCCCTGAAATACAAGGGGTCTGAAATAGAAGGCTAAGAAACTTGCTCTAAATTCTCCTCCTATGGGTGAGAAAGAACCCAAAAGGGACATGTACTGAACTCTGGGAGTGACGTGCATGGCCCCAAGTACCATTCTTTTTTTTTTTTGTTTTTGTTTTTTGGTGGGGCAATCAGGGTGAAGTGACTTGCCCAGGGTCACACAACTAGTAAATGTCAAGTCAAGTGTCTGAGGTCAGATTTAAACTCAGGTCCTCCTGACTCCATGGCCAGAGCTCTATCCACTGCGCCACCTAGCTGCCCCCCAAGTACCTTTCAATGACTGAAGTCCCTTCTTAGCCTGGCATAAGGGAACAATTATATGTATTTAATGATGATAATAATTATTAGCTACCAGCTACCCTGCTTGGTTTCAACTCCACCATCATCTTCATCATGCCAGGAACCCTTTGGCACTTACACACTCTCTCACACAAACACACACACACACACA